ACTGACCAGTGGAAATCTAAATGAAGAGAAGGGGAGCATAGAGAGAGGTCAATGCATGAAAAAGATTGCGTGCGTGTATCAAAGTGTGTGGGGTGATCTGAATTTAGAATAGTAAGGTCTGCTATGGAGAGGAAGCGTTCTAGAGATCGGCCTCGGGAGTTGGTGATAGAATCACCCCAAAGAGTGTGGCGGCAGATAAAATCACCAACTATGAGGAAAGGTGGTTGAAGTTGGGAAATTAGGTTTTCAAAAGCAACAAAGTCAATGGGGTGGGAAGGGGAGAAGTAGACTGAAATCACTGTGATCCAGCGGTGAAGAAAGATACGAATAACTGTGCAAGGGACAGTGGTTTGAAAGGAAGGTATGACATAAGGTGTTTTGTGACTGATAAGTATGGGCGAGACATAAAGGGAGTGTGGGAAAGAGTCAAAATGATAATTGGGGATTGGTACTGGAGGATGTGTAAGAAAGGTCTCTTGAAGGCATACAGTGGATGCGTTATAAGAGGAAAGGATATGACGAAGGTCGGGTCTGTGAGAGCGGAAACCGCGAATATTCCAATGAAGGATAGTTGATTTAGTGATATAGACTGTAGTACGTGTTGGGGAATTTGGAGGGGAAGCAGCTAGAGGGTGGGATAAGAACTGAGAGGTCTGAGAGGGGTGTGGGAGTTGGTGTTGTATCAGGAGGGGTATTAGGAGGTGGAGGGTCTGAGGAAGGGGATATTTGTGACATAAGGGATTCACGTGTGTATCCAGGAGGGAGTGGAAGGGACAGAGGGGATGGTGGGAGGGTTAATGTGGGTGGGGCTGGAGTCGGGGGGGATGGGCTGTGTTGGGACGGGGTAGGAGGATAGGGTGTAGGGGGGATATCGTTAGGAGGATGGAATGTGGAAGATTTGAAGGTTGATGAGTGTCAGCTTTCATTAAGTAGTCTTGAATATTTTCAAGTTTCTTCAATGGAGTTGGTTGGGGAGTTTTGTGAGATAAAGGAATTCTTGTGAGGGGGGGGGGAGAGGACTGGTGTCTTAAGAGTAGGGGCAAAGGAAGGTGGAGGTGATTGTGTGGTAGGGGAAGAGGAGGTGGAACGTTTGTTCTGTCTGTTGCGGGTAGTGCGGGGAAAGAGATGGGAAGATGTTAGGGTTGTAGTGGAGATTGAAGTGTCTGTAGTAGAGATTGGAGTGTCTGGATTTAGGATGAAAAAAGAGTTTGACTGGGGAAGGTAGGAGGTAGAAGAGGGGGGGTTAGATGGAGGGGGGGTAGGTTTAGGAGAAGTGGTAGAATGAGCAATATTACTGGAGTAGGGAGTAAGAGAAAAACCTCGTCGACATGCTTCCTGTCTGGCTTCACGTACTGTGAGTCCAAGTCTGAATCTGAGAGTTGCTATCTCAGACTCAAATTTGTAGGTGGGGCAGCCCCTATAAAATACATTATGGGGGCCGCCACAGTTGGCACATGTGCGTGTTTGTGCAGAGCAGTTTGATCGAGTATGGCCAGGTTGGGCACACACAGGGCATCTGGCTGTGGAACGGCAATGTCTGGCTGGGTGTCCTAAACGCGAACAATTTTGGCACTGACGAGGAGGTGGTTGGTATGGTCGGACAGGGAGGGATTCTCCACCTATGTAAACATTAAAGGGAAGGTCATGTCTACAGAAAGTGATTTTGGCGATGTTAGTGGTTTCTTACGATCTCTGGGAGGAATGGAGTAGCATTGTACTGATGTCGCATCATAGTCTGTGAGACAGGCAAGTAAGTCTTCTCCACTATCTGACCAATCTTTGTCATAGATTGGGCAATTTGCTGGGGAGATTGAAACAGTTCCGGTGCAAGTATTGAGGGTTGGATGGGGTTCTGCAAGGATGGGATTGCCGTATAGATCAGTTAGTTTTGCTAATGCTATAGCTTGGTTACTGTGACGAGACGGGAGCGGTCGGGTCGGCTACGGAAAGAGACTTTGCCTACTTGTATTTTTAGACTCTGCTGGAAGATAAGGGTGTTGTCATAGTAAGAAGCTGTGGGAGGGATCACGAAGAATCAGTACCATTTGGCTGGGCTAAAGAGAGTATTTAAGATTGTTGTGGATATAGGGGTAGTAGAAAGGCGGGGGCGTGACGAAAAGGGAGTAGTGTTGAGGAGGGTAGTGTTATGGAGAAGTGGGCAATAAAGCTGTAAGGTATTAATGAGGGAGGATGGGGTAGTTGATGTTGAAGGTTGTGGGGGTAGAGGTGTTGAGCATGTTGGGAGAGTGGAAATGTCTCTTGGGGGTTGTGTGTTGACTACAGTACTAGTAGGCATTGATGAGGGGGTAGTTGTTGCAGTGTTCGAAGCCGTGGTCAAAGGAGTGCCTGGGGTCAGGGAATCGGGAGGGTTGAATCGTTGGGGCTATTTGATGAAGGGGCAAGCCTCATTGCCCCTAATAATGGAGTTACGTCTTCATGATTGGCCATGGTAAGCCTGGAGTATGTTGGGGAGAAATACAGTCTACCTCCCAGGGTCCCCTTGAAGGGTAAGGGCTAGGTAACTAAATCAGGGGAATGCCGTGTTCATGGCTCCCTCAGGCCGTTCAGGACTGGCACAAAGTCAGCCTTTCATCCTTTCAGCATGGCTCTCACACCTTAGGAGGTGGATAGTAGAAGGGATTGGTGAAGGGACAGAAACGAAAAAGTAGGAAGGGAAAAAAGACCATGCAAAATTAGTTGAGTCGAGGGCTGAGTCCCAAGGTTGGGGAGTTCCCCATCATTGGGTCCCAGTCTCCGCCTCCTAAGCCCCCCCCCCCCCCCCCACGACAACAACGGGCAAGGGATTGGAGGGAAGGTGACAAATTGCTGGAGGGCCAGAAGCACCTATCCCGCTCCCCGTCTGGGGAGTGGGATAGGTGCTTCGAATTAAGGAAAGAAGGATGATGTGGAAGAAGCAATTTTGACCTGGGGAGTGCGTTTGGAGAGGAAAGACTTTAAAAAGACACCCATGTTTCTGTGTATACCTAAACAGGACAGTTGTTGGAGAATATAGTACTGCCATGAGGTATCATATGCTTTTTCTAGGTCAAATTTATTGTATTTTCAAATAGGTGGCTCCACAAGTTCTTAATCAATTTAATAATCGTAACATCAATAACAATAATAACAGTATCGATAGCAATAGTATTAATTTTCCCGCCAATTCAATGAATGGGAAAATCAGGATCAGTAACTAGGGCCTACTGATAGACTCCTTGCCGGCTGAGCACATGTGGAGACATCTGTATGCAACCAAATTTACCAAAAACTACAGAGGACAGAACATAAATCCGGGGAGAATGGGTTAATAGAAGAGAAGTGGGGAGAAAGGTGAGAACCAACTACCGACCTGGCTGAAATAGTCACCGACTTCATTAGCAACTTGGAGAGGATCAGAGATGAGGATATCTCAAATATGGAGGACTGTGGCTGGATGTGTGTGTGTGTGGGGGGGGGGGGTGCCTGATAGTTTATGGATTCAGCACCAAACAGTCGAGATGGATGTAGAGGATGTAACTGAGGAAACAATTTTGCCAGCTATTTGTTTTACTATTACGGATTGTACGACGAAGACAGGCGGATGCTCCTTTAAAGGAGATAAGGGCTGATAGTTGATTAGTGGTGCCTTGTTTGTAGCAGTAACTATTCCAGGCTGAACGTTTTATGTGACGCCCTTTAAATGCAATTGGAATTCCACCATGGAACATGGAGGTATAGGGCCTTGAGGTTCGAGGAATAGCTGTATAGGCAGCTCTAAGACTATAGTTCTGAAACATTGTATCATATCTGAAATGGACGAAGAGGATGGAGGGGCAGGAATAGCAGAGAATGAAGTGAAAGTACGCCAGTTGGCTCCATCAAAGCACCAGCGTGGGGAGTTAGGAAGTGGTACATATAAAGTAGGAGAAAGGAGAACAGGAAAGTGATCACCAGAGGGAGAGTGATCTAGAATTGCAAGTGGAAGGTCAGGTGGTGTGAGGGATGGTTGTATAGGGTGCACTTAAGATATTTAGGATTGTTAAGTAGAGAAGCATGTCTGAAGTGGAATAGAAGGATGATGTGAGAAGACCAAGAGTAGCGAGATGGGTAAAGGTATGCCAGTTAGCTGTCAAAGCACAAACTAGGGGATTGGGAAGTGGGACATAGGAAGTAGGAGGAAGAATAGGGAAGTGATCACCGGAGTGAAAGTGGTCTAGAACTGACCAGTGGAAATCCAGATGAAGGGTAGGAGAGTAAAGAGAAAGATCAAGTTATGAGAAGGATTGGGTACTCATGTCAAAGTGAGTGGGATGGTTTGAATTTAGGAGGATGAAGTCAGTATTGGAGAGAAAGTGCCCTAAGGAGTAACCGCAGGAATATAATTGGGAATTGGTACTGGAGGAAGCGTAAGGAACGTTTCTTAGAAGCAGACAGTGGATGGGTTATAAAATAGGAAACCTCAAATGTCCCACTGTAGAAGAGTCCTTGTGGATCAATCAACGGGTCTGGGGATTGAGGTACAGTATCAGAGGAAGGAGGTGAAGGTGTAGTATCAGGAAGCTCATGGGAGGTGGGAGAAGGGGAAATTGGTGAAGGTGTTGTATCAGGTTCAAGGGAAATGGGATCTGGTGAAGGTGTTGTATCAGGTTCAAGGGAAATGGGATCTGGTGAAGGTGTTGTATCAGGTTCAAGGGAAATGGGATCTGGTGAAGGTGTTGTATCAGGTTCAAGGGAAATGGGATCTGGGGAAGGACATTGTGAAAAGAGAGTTAGGAATGGGAAGGAACCAATTCACATATAAACAGCCATATACCTATAGACACTGTCAAGCACTCTTTATAGTATCACATTTATTGAGCAGTCACAAGACTTCCTCCTCCTGCTTCATAAACCGAAACTCAAGAGCTTCGGACAGGTAGTGTGGGTGGGTAGTGGACCTAAGCTTTACTTGGAGTCTATTTTTTCATTTCCTAACTTTTATTGAACAAGAGATTTGTAATATGTAATGAAATGAAAAAGAATTGAAATAGAAACTTCTTTATTTATTTAACTGTACAATTTGAAAACACTGGTCTCTAAATATACATGATTCCCCAGTCATAAATCTAGTACACGAGCTCCAGTAACTTTCTACACCTGGTAGGCAACAAGGGAGCCCTTTCCGATGCACTCTCCAATGAAGAACCAGCACATCACCTCAACAGCAACCAGGGTGTTCAGGGTAGCGTCCTGTATAAATAATGCCTGTTAGTAGTTGCACTTCATATCAGTAAATTGTACAAATTGACTATATACAAGTTTCTAGTGCTAGTACAGCCTCCCCATCCCCTATGTTTGAATTACTCAGCCTGAATGTGTTGTATCTTTTTAGAGTGTCTTGCATGACATATCTGCATAGTCGGCAAATGTTACGCAAAGTGAACATACTTTGGCTCACTGATCACACTCTTAGCACTCATGACAGAGGTTGTGGCCTTGTACAAAACACATTCTAAAAATCTACTTACATATCCTTAACCCATTGGATCCAGATGCTTCACTGCCATCACATGGCCCAAAATATGGGCATTAGGCTTACTTGATCAGCCATTATGACAGATGTACGGCTTGTTGGCGGTGACAAGACTATGCATCCCTTCACAAGGTTATTTTCTTTCTGCAAAAGTGCTTTTGGCTTTTTTCCTTCTTTTTCTGCAACCCCCCCCCCCTTTTTTTTTTGCTTTTTTTCTACCTCCACATTTGTCATTTGTTATGCTTTCTCCAGATAATAACAGCCTGTTTTCCTTGCACAAACTACATATCTCTAGGTCATTCATAAGTGTGCATAAATAACAAGTAACATTTTGTTATGTGACTTTTGTGTAACTTAATTTTCTGTAATACAACCTGCACAGCTAGTCATGGCAGCCAGGAATAGAATCCTCAGCTCTTCCAGTCATGGCTCATGGACAGTACATTCCACGCCTGTTTATCGATGGAAATTATGCAAAAGCCCCTTCGTAAATGCCCAATGAACCTAATCACCCACCAAGAGGACTTTGCCCTTGTGGTGAGTCTTTTTTCAGACTGTAGGATCATCACATCATATAAAAATCCAGGTCAAGGGGTAGGTGCCATGAACATGCTGTCACAGGAAAATCTGGCTTTAAGCCAAGAGGCCCGAACTTGCCATTGTGAATATTTTAGTGGAAGGCCGAGGTGATGGAAAAGACTTGCCATGATTGCAAAAACCTATTGGGGGATTTATTTTACCGACTTGATGATTTTGCTTTATTCCATGTTACATAGCTTTATTTTTCTTGCACTGAATTGCAGACTACCTAGAGAGATGATTGGAGTTGGTGCAAAGAAAGAAAGAAAAAAACTATTACCATCTGAATAATGTAATCCAAGGGCAAATATGAACATTGGAAAATGGCCCAAAAGCTTAAAATGCTTATCCATAAAAAGAGTAAATAACTTTATGAATTAGAGGTATAGGGTCTTGTCACCATACATGTTCACATGTACCTGGCCTACAAACAGCCACCCGGAAGAGCAACCACTCACATAAGCCTAATGCCAGGACTTTTGGTGATTTGATTGCCGTGACGCAACTGGATCCAATGGGTTATCATCATCTGGCCATTGAGTCATGGATATCCTTAACCCAATGACGCCGGGTGTACAAAAGGAAAATAAAACTCTACGCTCTGGCAAACAAAGGCGGCGCGCCGACTTTGAGCGCCGGAGTACGGGGCGTCAGCCCGAATCACTGGCTCGCCGCGCTTTGGCGCGCCGCCGGCTGGTTTGGCCGCACGCCACCTTTCGAGCGATTTGTTTACACGCGTATCGCCGTCACCCGGCGGCAAGGGGTTAAGATACTTTAATCAATAAGTGAATGGTCCAACTACATAACTTTCCTAGACTATCTTGTGTGACAGAACTGAATTCTTGTACAATATTAAATACCTAATAATAAAAATATTTCACTACTTAAAGTTCATCTCCATATAACAAGTGACATGTATCAAAATCAAGATTTTTTAAAAACTAACCTTAACTGTAAGGTTTTTCCATGCGCCAGTCTGTGCACTTTTCACAATGTTACCAAGGCCCTGAGCTACTGCACCAAATTCAGCTGGGGAAGGTGGGACTAGCTCAACCTTAGCATAACGAACGAAGGTATTTAGCTTGGGGGTTGTCGATTCCACAGCAGCTGAAAGGAAAAAATGCATTGAGAATCCTGATGAAGTTTAGGCACTTAATCATTCTCCAACAGAATCTAGATACCTTTCTGAAAGACATAGCATAAATTTCTAATTCATTGACAATTTTAATTTTTATTTAATAACCCCTAACATTCATGTGATGGATACAAAATGTTATAGAAGCCTAATACTTTATTTTCAGTTACTACTATGAAAAAACTATAATATACATGGATGCCAAAACATATTTCTTTACAGTTGAAGGAAATTATTACATAAGAAACTTCTAGTTAGTATGTACCTTAAATTACATTGTTTTAACATTCATAAATATCTTACTTGAAATTGCAGTGCTATTTTGTATTAAAATTCAAATCTAAAACCTAATTTTACAACACATTTTTATTTACACTTCTGTCTACTTCTGAGACCAAGAGTTCTTGCAAACAGAATTGAGAAATGCCGAGTGACATGGACTACTTGATGGATCGCAGTAATGAATTATGTGTCACATTTGTTTTGATCCTTGCAAGGTAAACATGAAAGGGACTTAGGAAATGAAGGGTCGATCTTCTGTCTTCTCTGTCCTGTATCACCCTTATTATAGTTTTGTGCACCTCTTGCCATAGATGAAAAGTAGTTTGTCAAGGTATCCACTCCACATACTTTTTAGGTAAATTTTCCAAAAATGACAACCGGGTCTTCCCTGACAATCTTTATATCAGATTTGTTCTCACGTGATGAGAACGAATCTGATGATATTCTCCGTCAGATTCTCCAGCCGGCAATCTTAATGTGTTATGATAAGTCCCGATAGCAAAGGAGGACATGAAAAAGATCAGGGAAATTACGGGGTAAAACAGGCTCAAATAAGCAAAATAGAGAGCAGAAATGTGTAAAACAAGCACAAAAAACGCTTAAAATCGACTAATGAAACTCTACGGACATCGCCGCCACCTTTGAAAGTCTACGGACCGACGCGCCAATTTTCGAAAAATCTACGGGAACCAAACCCACCATTCAGTAAAAATCTACAGGATTTCACATAATCCAGATCCCCTGTGGTAATCGTACAATGCGTCCTGACCAATAAACCAACCCAACCTAACCTAACCCTGTGGGATTTAAACACTACGATCTATACATTCCCTAGAGCCCCTGGACCCCATGGTATTAAATGCGCCTAGCCAGGGGGCTACGCCCCTTGGACCCCCGTTGTAATATACCACATACCTTTATAAAACGAAAAACCGAACTATTTTGCGCTTCCGTCCATGGTCAGAATTGCTTGGTTACTAATCACTTTTTTTGGCATTTGGGGCACTTGTTGGGCTCAAATATCAGGAATGTGATTGAGAATAATGTCTATTTGTCCTGTATATCCACAATATAGTTTTAAAAATAACCCGATGTCGACACAGCACTTGAAATGAAACATTTTTCACCGGTGTTTCTCAGCAAATGGCGGTGGGTCAACCTGTCAAATCTCCTGGTGAAAACGCGCATGCGCAAAAAGTTCTTGTACAGAATAACGTAAATAATTACCAAAAGACGCAAGAGAAGTATAATAAAACTAGAAGAATGAATTACATACATGAATTCAGAGAATCAGATGCTAGTAATGACAAAATAAGCGTTCTCACAAGCGCGTAGCAATACACGGTCTACTTGCTGGTTCGCAGTAATGAGTCACACGTCACAATTGTTTTGATCCTCATGAGGTAAACATGGAAGGGGACTTAGAAAATGAAGGGTCAAGCTTCTCTCTTCTCTGTCCTATATCTCCCTAATTTTAGATTTGCGAAGTTGTTGCCATAGATGAAAAGTGTCTTAGTTTTCGTCAAGGTATCCATTCCATACACTTATTTTACTGTACGATTGGTTGACATGCGCGGAAAGTTTTCCCAAAGTTCTTCTATGGCAATGTGTGTGCAAATGCTTCCCAAGGGTGCTACACGTAAAAGAAAAGGGAAAATGGGTTACTTTCGAAACAATTTTGATATTTTTCTGCAAGAAAACCAGTGCTTTCAACGATACTAGGCATTTTTCCTTGTGCAAATGGGTGACCTAACCCAACATCCAACCTAACCTAACACCGTGGTATATATTCCCTAGTCGGTATTATTGGAGAAAAGCGTAAACATAAAATCCAGGGAAACTAACCTTACAGTCGTGAAGTTTTTTAATTTTCTAAACTTTTTTCTTAAATAATCTTATCTTGCAATCGAATCATAAACAAGCTATTTAATTTTCAAAATAAAAAAAATTATATTAGTCTTGTTCTTTCCTCTTCGCGAGCTCAGGAAAAACTGATCAATTTCGCTACTGCGCATGTGCGAAGTCAATCGTACGTGTAGTATTCGTGTTATTTTTCCAGTGACCTCACGACTAGTGCCATCATTTGATTGGCTAAATGTTTGGCGGTTATCTTTTCCACGAATAGGGAAACAGGCGGAAACAAAGGATACGGAAGCAACCAATCAATGGACAATATTAAGAAAGAGCGGTTTGGTAAATTAAAATTTGAAGTCAGTCTCACCATGGCTTCGCTTTGTGATGGATGTTACAACAAGCCAATGAAACTTGTCAAATTATATTTTGAAGATAACAAAGCTAGCTTGGAAGTTCTACGGAATCACGGTGTTCTTCCTTTGCAAGTACTTTGCAAGCATTGCAATTTACCGTGCACGCTTCGTGATGGAAGGTGGTTCTGCAGCCGTTAGACAAAAATTGCAAAAACTAAAAGGCGGAAGCAGTGCTCCTTCACTGTAAGTGACTACAAGGGGACATTCCTCGAAAACGCTTACGTCGCTCCCTCAAATCTGGTAGTT